TTGAAATCAAACTACAGATTATTTTTTCTACTGTTCATTTAGAAGTTTTCATACTCAAAACATCACGTTAACTACTAACTCAAACTGTAAGTAGGAAGCTTCATCAAATAGTTAAGAACTTTAATTCGCTGAAGTTAACAGTTCAAGATGTACTTTTTATCGCAAGTGAATCTAATGCCACTTTACAGTATCCATTCGGAAAGGTTACGTACAGGTAATTCACGAATACTTAGCTACCAAAGAAATAATACTAAATAACTACATTAAAGAACGTATTCAAACTGGTTTTCAGAAATAAATGTGTTTTATTAGATGATCCCCACTTCTTCATTTTTTATATCTTTAGTAAGAGATTAAAAAAATATATGAAGTTTACTAGCTTTGTATTCATGAAGTCAGCAATCCCAATCTTTATATTATATTAACCTAATTAAGTTGATTAGCTGCAGAGATTCATGACTTCTTAAACTTCTTCCATTTTTTATTGTAAGCATATTACTTAATGAATTGCAAGGAATATGTGTAGCATTATTGACAGGATTTACGAAATGAAAAGTTTCATAATAACTGCAAAACAACTATCGTAAAATATTCATAATGATGATGTAAATATTTACTGTTGAAATTCTAAGCACGTACAATTACTTACTTGGGTAAATGAATAGAGGCCTAAACCTTATTTTGAATGATGATGATGAACACAATAAGGGTGGCTATGATTATAAGTATAAATGTTTTTCGTTAACAATAAAATGACTGCAAAATCCACTATATATGTTTTGTCATGTGAAATTACTACTTTAGTGTTTTCCGTAAAACACCTAAATTGTCATTTTATTCATCTGTTGACGTATGCTTGTTTAATGATTTAATGTAGTTTAAAGAAAAAAAATGAAGGTGCACTGCTGATTAACCTTTTTGACAATCATGTACCTACATAGCGTGCATGGTCTGGCCACTAGGACGCTATCTTCACTGTTATAACACTGTCAGCATTAAATATAATAAAAAGCAGTTTTATGTGTACGGATTTCGGGTTGTTGAGGTGATGTAGTAATCATCAGTCAAATACCTGATTGGATGGTATCATGGGAATAAAACAAGGGACTATCCGTAAACGTATGACTCGAAAGTTTACCTATAAAAATAGGATAAATAAAAAATAGAGAATAATTGGCATTGTACACGGTAAAACACAAACATTTAAAACAGTTGTCTATAAAGCTCAATAGGTTTTTTTGATGCAGCAATTATGAATATATCGCTTGAGAAATGAAACAGTCATTTTTTCTCCATCACAAGACTACATGCTATCAATAAAATATCAATTTTCGTCTTATTTTGGGGGTTCTCATCGGCTACCGACAATTTAATCAGTAAAAAGGAGAATTGCCAATTTTTTTCTTTGCAGATGAAAAATTCACTTTCTCCATATTTTCGTGAGTATTATTTGAGCTTCACTCATTTTAATTCTATAGTCAGTACTTTTTAGTTGTTATTATTATGCATTTTTTAATCTCAATCTTTTTAATAACCTATCTTCATGGGCTATATAAAACATCCGGAACATTCAGATTGCATAATATATAAATATTTATTCTCCTGAACATCCTTATTTGTTGTTGCTCCTTCCGATGAATTAATTTTTCATAGTACTTGATTTTGTGAGTTTAAGGATGCTGTTTGATGTACTTAAGAAAGATTCATATCTGTCTATCTATGAATTGTCTAAAGATACAATGATAAATCAGAGGTAATGCTGATTTTAGTACTGAAAATAAAATTATCTTAGCCAAAATATAAACGGAAAGCTCGAAGTACTGGGCACCCGTTTCATCTTAGCTTGGGACGACTCAGCAATCAGCATCCACGACCAAGGATGCGGGAATCAAGCACAGAATCTTCAATCCATCGCATGAATCACTAACCTGTAGAGTATGTAGTAGTCCTGTGTTCGATTTCTGTGTGTGATATCGTAAATCACACTTCTAAGAAGTCTCATGCTAAAACGAAATGACTGTCCAGTGGTTCCATGTTTTTACATGTGTTTTCGTAACTATCAGTTAGTGATTCCAGCTAATTAAAATTCTAAAATCCCCACTAATCCCCTATGCTGACAATAATGGTGATTGTTTGTCGAGACAACCTACTGATAGTCACTGTTCTCTTTTCAGAAACAGTAAGGCTATAACTGTAAAATTGATCGATGAACTTACAGACTTCAGCAAAAATCATTTTGCAACATCATCAACAGCAAACTTCTACTAAACATACCTAGTCGAAAAGTTCTTATTATAAGATGTATCTCAAAGCAGTATTATATAAGTTGATCTGTCTAATTCCAATATTATTTCAATACTGCAATGCAAAGACGAGGTTCATATGAACTATACGATATATTGGGACAAGACACACCAAACAACGTAATCACAGATTTACTTCTTAAGACTTCTATGTATCAAAAATACGACCAGTGGAACAAATTGTAAGATAGTGGGGAAGATAGGAAAAGCCGATAGTAGGAAAAGCAAAATGAGCCACATCATTGTGTAGAACAAATGAAAATTGACACGGTAGATTTCATTTTAATACAAAATGTTTTTGAACAAACATAGGACTTTGAACTCTCGTATGTCTGAGACATAAACAAACCTGAGTACTAGGGTTATATTACTTTTACAGATGGCCACAAAGACTGAATTAAGACTTAGTTTGTGTCTTGTTTCGACTGTATGATAAGCAGTGGCGGAAGATGGGCTTTTGTAATCTGTTCTTATTGAGCCAATTGAATTTTTCCTGTTTTTTAGCTATTTTGGTGTTTATTCAGCCCTCCTAACCTGCAAACTACGACTACTCCGCATGTGAGTTTCCTTATATATTTTAGTTGGTAAATAGACCTGTTAATCGTAAGTGAAAAGTAGTACCCCAACAAGTTAACCTTAACTTTTACAAATCTTGTTTGACAAACCACAAATTTTCCTAAGCGGTTGTACAACGTTACATTCTAATAAACTACAGCCAAATTTCTCAAATCGTATTCGACATAATAAATCAAGTTTAAAGACTTGTGGAAATTCGAATAAATTCATCAAACCCCACATTTATGTATCATCTGTATCAACAGAAATATCTTGGGAATTACGTGAAATTCTTGAATATCTACATTACTGTCGTAACAATGAAAGAAACGGTAAGGCATAAGCTGATAAAATCTTGTGGTAATGATGATCACGTTAATTTGGTTTCTATCAGTCTCAATAAATAGATGACTAATAAATCTTCTGTCGTACTTTCTGATGACAAACAGGAGGAACTTTCATCTCAGTTTAATTATTATGTGTATTACACTAGTGCCTGATTAGGTAATCAATCTTTAGACTGAGGACCTCTGTGACCAACTAAGTGCAACTGTTACGACGTCTTTGGACAACCAATGGTAATGTTAAAATAAGTTAGTGGATAAAGTTCATTAATTTCAAGATTTCATAGGACTCCCTGTAATTTCACAAACCGCTTACACAGATCATTGTCTGATAATTTGTGTTCTTTTTATTCTTAAAGTAGACAACCATTTTTAAATATTTTTCCCACAAATTATTGTGTTATTCCCTCTAAATCATTTATAAAGATTATATTCAGTATTTGAAATGTTTGGTTATTTTTGGAAACTGTCAAATAACTCAGTATTCCTCACTGTTGTGATAGACTAGACAATGGAATACTGATTGTCAGAACGATTGTACAGCTTAAATAAATGATATAGTCCAACAATATGTATTTCGTTTAACCATCTTTATTCATTAATGACTGGGTGATTTTTATTGTTTGTTTCAGTTACACAGAATTCAAACTAAACATTTACTTCAAGAATTCGCATTTTATCATTTAGTGAGGTCCGCGGGAAGTTGGTTGAATATATTATTTACGTAAACATAACCACTGGGTATATATCCGGCTATTTTCATCGTCAAAGTAATTCCTTTTAGTTCTAGTCAATAAACACGCATTTCTAAAGACAGATATGTTGCGATTCGGATCCATAAGTGAACAGATAGCCGAGACGATTGATTGAAAACTATGGTCTACATTGCTAAGAACTTACACAGTGAAACAAGTCTTATAGCACTATAGCAAACAAATCGTTCATTTAGATACTGAAAGCTAAGCAAATACTCATCTCATTTTACTTCTACATCTATTTGTCAGTTTAAATGTATGTTTTGAATCACACGTCAAAACAACTTAAAAGTGAGTAATCGTTCATCTAACCCTAGCTGGTCAACATGATAGCAAACACGATGTTGAAATCCCGAAACTATTAATTAGTGAATGGCTACGAATTTCTAGATTTTTACTAAACCCATAGTTATCGAAGGTCTCGAACCGAATATATCCATTCAAAGTGGCAATGTTATTCATTCGATGTTTAGAATACCTCAGTTTCTTATTATCTCATTTTGTCTTTGCGATTACTAATTCATTTTATTGGATCTGATTTGAGCCCTGACCATCCCAACCATATGAGTAATTCTCTTTTGAAGTTGTTATTATGTAACTTTTACATTACATTTTCTCATCAGCCGTTTTCCATTTCCTTCAATAAGTTTCTCTATAGAATTTTGACATTTATCATCAACCATATGAATATCGCCTATAAACATTTTTTCATACTTATCGTTCTTTGCATAAAATGTTAGTGATGAGTACTTCTCTAATGAAGAGCATGTGATCCAATTTGTCTTTAAATAATTAGCACTATTATTTTGAGGCTATAAGCAAATGAATGTAATCTAAGGAGCAAATAAATTCAAATTCTTCTGTTTTGGTCGTTGTTCTTCCTTCTATCAAATTTAAAGGTGCGAAACTTATATGAAAACAAACTTAGTTGGACAATACTGTTGGTAAAAACTGGACTGTGTTTCAATACATTGAGGTGGTGATGTCCAACAGAGACACCGAATTGCTTCATGTCATCGCGTAGCCCATGTTTATTCAAGTGGCTTCCTATGTTTTTAATTTCATTTTAAAGGAACGATTCTCCAGGTATATTTTTGGCTGAATTTTGTAAGACAAATAACTTTAAATTCATTTGACACTTAGTATTGACATGATGTAACGTTATGAAGCTATATTTCGTTCTTTTGAATGATCATAAAGAATGATATTTAGAAATGCAGTGATAAATTATCTACTTAAATGCATACTAGAAGTCACAAAGAGGCAAATTGTTCACTAAACCATCTAAACGCTCTATAAAACTTTCGCTTCTTACTTGATAACTGTACACGTAACTGCCGAATAGCGAAACCCCCACTGTTGTAGATAGTTTCCTCAACAAGTCTGCATACACATCGATTTAAATTCTTATAGTTCGTTGGTTGTGTATATATGGTAGTTCATAGCTTTCCAAATAATTTTATGGTCAGTAGACTACATTAGTTTATATTTCTGGCGTTGGAAGCCTACCATTTCATAGGAAGGGAAGATTTCAATAAACTCCAACAGTGAACTATGACATAAAAATCACATGTACTTTTACTTCTAGTCTATCCCAGGAATATATGTATATATTGTAAGAGGTAACTTGAAGAATGATTGAATCGTTCTGTTAAAAGCACAGTTATAAATTTACTAACTTCACATTGTTTACAGCATAAAGAGTTTATTTAATGAGATGAAACACAAGTCGAAAATTCCTCATGTAAGATACAATCCAATGTATATAAAAATAATGAGTAAATATTTTTCGGCTGTGTTAAAAACTAAGGTGTTGTTTGCTTAATTTTTTAATGGTTTTTCTTACTCCTTTTTATTTCTTTACTAAACGTTTTCGTTCTGTTATTCTATTCATCATCACCGCGCTTTACAGCCAATAGAACACATACTGCAAATACCAGACAAACCATTTGGACCAAGGAGAACAGAAATACGCTAATTATGATAGCATTGAGGTGTGCTTCGCTCAGATCGCTGACCTTTTTAACGCATCCCTAAAACGAAGAAGAATAATGAAATAAGAAAATAATAGTTATTCCACAGAATGAACCCTATTTGATTTGTCGTGAGACCGACTACAGACGGTGTAAAAAGAATACTTGTTCCACTATGGTCCTCTGTTTTGGAAGTCCCTATTTATATTCACCCCTTGCTAAATATTTTGGATAACACGCACGTTTGATATCTCAGTGTGACTATCAATTATTTCTCCTCACATATCAATAGTGATATCATATCTAGAACGTGGAATTTTTAGAATGAGTTGAAAAATTATACGGCTTAATGATACTAATTTTCCTGTGTTTGTAAGACGATCGTGACGGTATACCAGAGTCGATAATCTTATAGCTTGTACAAAAACATAACTTGTAGTAGTTGATACCCTAGAACAGTTTATGTTTTATAAGATTCGCCAATATTTATAAAAGAAGCCTTGTAATTTTCTCTTGCATTGATAATTTTTACCGGTAATTACTGTGTAAAAGAAATATAACGAGAAATTATTATGTTTGTAGTACATCTCAGAAAGAAGTTGTTGTATTTAAGACCACGAATTGTAAGAGTAACTACTAAAATATGAAAGCGAATGAATTCAATGATCATTTTACTTTATTATTTAAATATATATTCCCTCGGTTAGGGTTTGGATTAACACCTAGTGCCATCCAAAAGGTTGCCAAAAACTCATTGTGAAATTTTTATAAACTTCCTACTTGTTGGGAAGCATACAGAATGGATTTGAAAACAGTCGTCTGTGTTCGAAAAAAACTTTCCTGAGAATCGTGAGCTTGATGAAATCCAATGATAACGGGACACCCTAGGTTCCATCGAATATTAAGATTGTTATATCCATCAAAAATGTTCTACGCTCTAGACTTCTTTTCAAGCTCAAACGTTTTGGTAACATCAGAAATTTATCTCTTGTCTATCAGAAAAGTACAATCTGAACCCTTTATAAAGTCTTGTACTGGGAATTATAAACATCAGATCACTGCTTAAAACATTAACAAGGCTCCCTCCACTTATGCTTAGAATTGCCGAGTTACCTGGTGCGATTATAAACTGCAATACTGCGTCAAACAGATGCTATTCTGATATTTGAGCTGTATGAGATTTCAACACACCACTTGACTGTTCAGAGACACGGTAAAATCTTTAAAGTCTAGTTTGGTTCATATTCGTACAGATGACAATAATTACAAAAATAGTTACAAATCCCCAATAGTTCTTTCTGATCGTAATAATTCGTTAGCCATAGCAAACTATGACTTTGAAACCATCACCCACAATAATTTAACTTCATATAAGGATTTCAAAGCATTATGGGAGATGATAAAATTCAGAAACAAAGAGAAAAGCATTCACATTACGCTTTGCAGAGTGGTGTACGGATCCAAACAAGAGAACCAGTTAAATTTCAAACGCTCATCTTCAAAAGACATGTTGGAGTTTTTTCCAAAAATAGTTCAAAAGACTGGTTTACGTACAGTTACAGAAGTTTCAAGTTAGCCAGTGAAAAGCATAAAATTCTCACATTCATCTGCCATACATAGGGAGGTGGCTTAATTGTGACTCATTATTAGAGATTATTTAGCAACCTATTACTTTCCTTTTACCTCCACTAACCAATCCTACAAACGTCATATTATAGGGTTATTTCGAAAGCCAATGAAAAAATACATTCCAGATAAATAAAACGTTCTCTACAGAGAAAACGATTCCTGGAACATGGCATAATAATATATGATGCCTCCAGCTCCGATTGACTTAAGTAGAATAAATATTACAGACATGTGGACTAGTTCTATGAAGGGGTAGATGTGCTGTGAATTCGTTGTCTTCAACGCAAGAGACTGAAAGTTTTGGTTTGAGGTGGTTTTCCTCATGTGAGCTATTGGGCTAGCCGACTGTTTAGTCTTGGTTACCTAATACTCAGTTGTATTTTGATGCCAACGTGAATGAGCGTCTCCCTGTGGAAACCTGGTTAAAAATGATTTTTAACCAATATAGCTTATGATATGTCTTGAACTTTTCTCCAGAAGGTTATCGAATTCATACACGATTCAGCGTTATAATTACTGTAATTTTTTTACTTAAACACTTGATGTTTACTTGTTCTTATTCTGCTATAACTTTTATCCCTCGGACTTCTTAAATACTTGAAAATAAACAACAAATATCACAAATCAAGCAAAAATGTAAGGAGTATATAAACCTCAGAGGAACCGATAAAGGGTTTATATAAATCTACCTCTGTAAATGTTTTGCCATCTTTTGAACATGACTTCGGTAGTACACCGCCATAATCTGCTGGAGAGTCAGCACCACAGCATTGTAACTGAATAAGCATGTATGATGAGAATTGCACCTCACTTTTTGTTGGATTTCATCAAGAACTTTTCCAACATGTTTGTCTTTATAGTACTCTCGTACGAATTCTCTTAATGCCTCAGTGACGTGTTTTTTGACCTACAACAACGGTGTTTGCTAGTTAACTCTTACCTTGGGCTTTTCTACTATAGCAAATATTCCTGCTGCTATTTCTGCAACTATTAAAATTGATAAAAGAATGCAATACTACAGGGAAATAATAAGTTTTCATAGTTTTCGTTACCGTCGTTAATAAACAAACATTCTTCGTGCATGCGCCAAACATTCCTAAGGCCCCCAAAATAAATAAGAAGCATCCGAGGGCGATGATGAAGATAATAAGCGATTGTAGTGGGGGTTCAATGTCTTTCCAGTGATTTACAACAGAATGGAGCCCAAGTGCACCAACCACAATCAGCCCGAGCCCACATATCTACTTATCTTTCCGAAAAGTATGATACAACTTACGAATGCTCCACAATTGAAAATAATTAGCAAACATTGCAAACACTTATACCCACAGCCAAGAGCCATGTCCTCAACAGACGCGTGATAACTTACCACACCCTTAAATAATAGTCAGAAGGTATAAGGTCATTTGTATACGGTTAAACAAAGCTCATCGTGATTAACAGACCACTGAATACTGACGCATGACTACACGTACACTAAGTAAATTATATAACCATAGCAAAATGCCATATGTTTCTTCTTTCAAATGATTATAGACAGAAGAGGTGTCGCTTAACGAGCCTCCGAATCTTGTACAAGTGGATCATCGATGCTTCCAGGTAGGAATATTGATATGTTTGACGATAAAAAGGGAAATATTAACAAATCATGGTGAAATACTGTCCTAAGTCCTCAAGAATGTTTTGTTTCTTGTTGAGGGACTCCTGAGAGGTCACTTGGATTATCTCAATCGTCAACGAACTCCAGAATTCATATTCATATGACTCATTATTCTGTAGTGACCTACTTTTGTCAACAGAACGCGATTGGTCTGATGAAAACAATTATTATTATAACCAATTGTACGAGTGATTGTTTTGCTGTGCTTGTTTGTTTAACTGTACTAGTGACAGCCATTACACTTACTCTCCAGTTGACTTTGAAATTGTGCGAATTCGATTACGCTTAGCGCTTATACTTGTACTCCTTTGGCACGATCTCGGTATTCTTTCGATACCACGAGATCGCCAACAAATACATCTCGACTACAGCCATCATCTGCCTTCTGATATTGGCCTACGGGGATCTTATTGGTTAACTGGCACGTAGTCTTCTTGTAGCGGTGTTCGTAGTCAAGCGCGACTCGACTCCACACCACAATTGGTAAGCCAAATCTGGAAACACGTCTCAACCCCTGGTCGATTAGTCCAAAGAAGTCAACTAGGTGAGTCTATTGTTTATTTATCCACGTCTGTCGTATATTTTCATATCAATTTTTAATATATAATATACTCGACATGACGGATAAGAACGGTATTAATATAATAGACTCCGATGTACGCGTACCGAATCCTCGGCACGTTTTATTCACGTGACGATAAATTCCACGCTTTATTCGAGAAACTATACAGATTAACTAAACCATTCGAGGAGATTTCGTCGGTGACCAATCGTGTGGTACACCACATAGTCACTCGCGGACCACCAGTCACGGCAAGACCATGCCGACTGGCACCGGACAAATTAGCCCTCGCTAAACGTGAATATGACAATTTACTATCTACTGGTATTTTTCGTCCTTCTCACAGTCCCTGGGCCTCTCCTCTTCACATGGTGTGCAAAAAGGATGGGGTTAGTTGGAGACCATGCGGCGACTACCGAGCATCAAACGTTGTTACGCGCTTCGTTAGCTACCCCATCTCCGACATACACGACATCACGGCATCGCTCAAGGGCACGACCATATTTTCTCAGATCAATCCGGTACGAGCATATCACCAGATCCCAGTCGCTCTTGAAGATATCGAGAAAACTGCTATCACGACTCCTTTCGGTCTGTTTGAGTTCCTACGAATGCCGTTTAGATCATGGAATGCTGCTCAAACTTTTCAAAGGTTTATCGATAGCATAGTACGAGACTTGGATTTTGTTCACGTCTATATTGATGACCTGTTAATCGCATCATCAAACGTAGATGAACATTATCAACACCTTGCACTATTGTTCCAACGCCTTTCGGATAATGGAATAGTAGTCAACCCAGACAAGTATGAATTGGGTAAACCGGAAATAATATTTTTGAGTCACATCATCAGACAAGAGGGTATTCTGCCTTACGAGGACAAAGTTCGAGCAATAAAGTAGTACAACGTGCCGTCTTCACTCAAGGAACTGAAGGCTTTTCTCGGTTTCGTTAACTTCTACCGACGTTTCATCTCACACGCGGCAGAACGGTTACGACCATCGGTTGTGACATCGGCTTGGCTGATCTAATGCGACAGCCTAAACATCTGTGTAGGGCCCTCTTGATTTCCGCAGTACCCTTTAAGACCCAGTACTTTTTACGCAAGGCAGCTAGTGTGTGGTACAACCCCATGTGTCCTTCAACTTGATGGTAATACCGAATGATGAGTTCCGTTATAGGGTGTTTACTGGGTGGAATAATCGGATGTTTCTGCTCCATCGGAACGTCACTACTGTTTAAACGTCTTCCTACACGAATCAGGTTGACAATTATGATCGATTGTAACTTATTAATAACATGATTCTTGGATGTGATGCTGTCTGAATGCTTGTGTCGTAAATGCAATGGCTAACTTCCGCGACTATTCTCTCCTTCCCTGTTTCTTCTGGTGGTCGACTGGATTATGAAGACCTCGACATCTCAGGGAAACTACGGCATTCGATGAACAGCTCAGAACCAATTAGACGACTTGGACTTCGCAGATGACCTAGCCCTCCTATCACATACACACGAACAAATGCAGATAAAGACGGCCAGCATAGCAGCAGTCTCTGCATCAGTAGGCCTCAACATACACAAAGGGAAAACCAAGGTCCTCAAACACAACACGGAGAACAGCAATCCAATCACTCTTGATGACGAAACTCTGGAAGACGTGGAATCCTTCACATACCTGGGAAGCATCGTCGATAAACAAGGAGGTTCAGATGCAGACGTCAAGGCGAGGATTGGCAAAGCTAGAGCAGCATTCCTTCAACTGAAGAACATATGGAACTCAAAACAACTTTCAACCAATATCAAAGTCACAATCTTCAATATGAACGTCAAAACAGTCAGTTCTACTGTATGGAGCTGAAACGTGGAGAATTACAACAATCACCATTAAAAAGTTACAGGTATTTATTAATAGCTGTCTACGCATGATACTCAACATCCATTAGCCGGATACCATCAGCAACAGCCTTTTGTGGGAGAGAACCAACCAGCTTCCAGCTGAAGAGGAAATTAGGAAAAGACGATGGAAATGGATAGGACATACATTGAGGAAATCATCAAACTGCATTACGAGACAAGCGCTAACTTGGACTCCTGAAGGGAAGCGGAAAAGAGGAAGGCCAAAGAACACATTACGTCGGGAAATAGAAGCAGATATGAAAAGGATGAATAAGAACTGGAAAGAGCTTGAAAGGATTGCCCAGGACAGGGTTGGATGGAGAATGCTGGTGAGCGGCCTATGCTCCTTCACGAGGAGTAACAGGCGTAAGTATGTAAGTAAGTAACTTCCGCGAATTCTCGTCCTTTTACGTATTCCAATAAGTCTTTTTCGGCGTTATCCAATTCGTCAAGCGTAAGGGGTCCAATTCCGTTCATTTTATTGTGGAGGTAGCGTTTGAATCTAGTGAACCAAGCTCTGCATTGTTTCAGCTTGATCCATGACGAAAAATACGATATAAATCTATCAAGGGGAAGAACTGAAGTCATGGTGTTCAAAATTGTAACGTTCTTTAACTCTAGCTCAACTGGGAGTTTTAATATTTCTTTCCGTCTATACTTAGGCCATTTATTCTTTTCGGTCGTTAGGAATTCAGGACCTGAAAACCAAGATTCAATGTAGTTAGGGTCATACTTATATAATCCTTTGGAAGCTAAATCAGCAGGATTGATAGATAATGGTACATACTTCCATTGAGACGGTTTGGTTCGTTCATGAATAAAGTTAATTCAATTAGCTACATATATCTTGAAACGTGACGTTGTATTAAGTATGTAGTTTAATACTATCATAGAGTCAGTCCAGAAGTAGATTTCAGTCAGGTCTTTCAGTTTTATTTTTTCTACTATCTACTTCATCAACTTCACTGACAGTACTGCGGCTTGCAGTTCAAGGCGTGGGACACTGACAAATTTTAGGGGTGCTCTTCTAGATTTGCCCAGGATGAAACTACATATCGTTACACTTGCATCATATTGTAATCTCATATAGGCCACGGCTCCATAACCGCTTTCTGAAGCATCCAAAAATGGATGTAAATAAATCTGTCCTTTATTATACGACTGAATATTCAAACATCGTGGTATCCGTAGGAATCTGACACCTGCTATCCCTTCTAACCAAGTTTCCCAACTCGATCGCAACTCCTCGTCAATCATCTCATCCCACCCATAGCTTTTACGGCATAGTTGTTGCAGAATTCGTTTAAGAGTAAGCAATAAAGGTCCTAGAAATCCAAGAGGATCATATAAAGATGATGTACATGATAGAATGTCTCTCTTAGTAGTCGGCGGTTCAGGGAAGTTCACGCCAAATGCAAAACAATCAGATTGAGTGTACCAACAAAGTCCTAAAGTCCTCTGTATGCGTTCCGTCGAACCCGGGATACAAATCAGATTGTCTGACCTATCGAATATAGGGACCTCATTCAGAGCATCATTTACGTTACTGACCCATTTATGTAAACGGAAACCTACAAGTGCCACAAGTCTTATCAAGTTGTTCGCTAACTCAGAAGCTTCAGTGGTTGTCTCTACTGAGACAAGAGAATCGCCCACGTAAACGTTTTCTCGTAAGGTGGCCAGTTTTTTTTCATCGAACAAATCTCGGTGGTCTGCAGCTGTACGTCTTAGAGCATAGGTGACACAAAACGGTAAAGATGTGGCTTCGAAAGGGTGTACATGCAACTCATAGACATCAGAGAGAAAGTCAAGATTACCATCGAGATACCATAAGAAGCTGAAGGCCTTTGCATCTTCTTCAGGAAGACGTACCTGGAGGAACATTTCTCCAATGTATGCTGACAATCCAATTTTATGCTTTCTGAATCAAAGCGAAACTCCCACTAAGTCATTTGTAAGATCCGGTCCAGAATGTATACAATCATTTAAAGACCTGTTTTGTGATTTAGCACCACAGTCAAAGACTATTCGAACTTTATCTGGCTTTTTAGGGTTAAACACGGGGTGATGTGGAATGAAATTCCCTTCTTCTTCTATAGCTTGAGTCACTCGAGACAAATATCCTTTACCTTTGTGGGTGGCTAATATGTTAGTAAACTGTTTACAGAGATGCTCGTCTTTCATTAACCTTTTATGTAGGTAAATTAATCGTTTTTCTATTTCGCGTTTGTCCCTTGGGAGTGAGTGCCAAACCACTTTCCAGGATATCGGCACACGATAATG